AAAGGTAATATTTATTTGTAGATGAGTGACACGTTTATTATATATGAGTGTTGAGTCTAGTATTTTTGTGGGTAAAGACACCTCATATACACTTATGTCCTACGGAATCAAGAATCTGTCCTACGGAATCGAGAAAGTTGGTCATCAGGTAGCTACGAATTGAGAATTTGTCCTTAAGGTCAGCCTATCGAGAATATTGTCCTGTTGGTCATCCTATCGATAATCTGTCCTACGGAATCGAGAATCTGTCCTAAGGAATCGAGAATAGTGTCCTTAAGGTCAGCCTATCGAGCGAGAAGCTGTGCTATCCAAGTAGTCCTATTGAAAAAGAAAGTAAGGGCAAAAAATTCAACCAAGACCACAATAGTATAAGGAAAGCAAAAAATTCCTCTTCTTTATCCATATGTGACCGGTTAACTGTTAAATATAAATTACATAAAAATCCATAACATAAATCTATTACATAAAAATAGATAACATATAACAATCCTAAACATAACTCATAAGAATCCATAACATATAAATCCATAAAACCTAACGATCCTAAACATAAAAATCCATAACATGAACCATAACATAAATTCATAACACATAAATCCAAAAAGATCTTAAAGTCATATTAAAGTCAACCAAGTAATCCAAATTTCCTTATACCAAAATTTTCAGCAAATATGATAAGAACAGTGGTGTATTTTGGATAAAATTTTCCCCACTCCAAGCCTTCCAACTTCTCCATACATTCATCCATCTCCTTGTTAAGATTATTTGTTTGTGCGAACGACTGTGCAACCTGGACAATTTCCTTGCCAACTTCTCTTAAGTCATCATCTAGTGTGTCCTTGGGTGCATTTCGTTTTCCTCCCTTCTTTTTTGACTGACCAAAGGATTTTTTTACTTGTAGGTGGGGGTAATGTTGAGGCTGAGGTTGAGATATGCATGGGTCTTCCATCTCGATATCCTCAAAATCATTTGTAGTAAACACTTCGGTGGTAAGAAGAAGTGTTGAAGATGGTCCCTAACTATGACAATCGGTGGAGGTCGCCCCGTCAAACAATTAAATAATTAGGTGCATAGATCTGGGAAAAGGAGGGGCATACTTTTTAATTTGTCAACCATCTTGTTCAACTCTTTGAAAAAATTATTAATATTATCAAACTTATAAAACAAAATAATCATGTGCTTTAAAATAAAAGAATACATTCTCCTCCACTTGCCATTTTTCCTTTGTCATATGAGACGTGTTTGTTTTAGGATTGTAAAGATTCCTAGTTCTTTTTTTTTTTGAACTTCAAACAAACTTCATACTTGTTTTTCAAGTACATATAACAATATTTCATTTGTTTTTTTGTCAACTACAAAGTTATGTTCATTTTTTAGTATTTCGGCTACTACATTCCATGAGGTTCCTTTCATGCAACTACCCTCTTGACCGTTACGCCACTACCCTCCCGACCGTTACTTGCTAGTTCTTGTATACGTGTTTCAAGAAAACTTTTGTTCACAATATCCAAAGACAACCCGGCTCTACCTCTTTTTTCTGCCATGTCTAATGAATAAATGAATGATAAAAATGTTACATATAGAGCAAGATCAAGAAACAAACATACACATAAGGGGCTGATTTCGAATGCACACAAATATACATACATACATACAAATATACACATAAAAATAAAATTTTGCTACTTGTATATGTATATATGTATCAACCTTTATTTAGTTATGTCATTAACAATTATGTGCTATATTTGATTATTACTTATTTATGAAACTAGAAAAAGGCTAATGTCATTAACAATTATGTGCTATATTTGATTATTACTTATTTATGAAACTAGAAAAAGGCTAAACCAACAGATTTTTAACTCATTTAACAAACTAGTTGGCACTTATAATTTATATATTCAGGTGTGGTTCTCATTTTTCCTGCTTCAATTCGTAATCGTATATATGTGGACCATACATTCGTAATCACACAAACATACACATAAGGGGTTGTTTTCATGTGGAAATACACATAAATACACACATTTTTCTCATACACACAAGTAAATATGTTTTTATGAGAAATACACATATTTTTCGCACAAAATCATGTTCAGTGGCACAAAATAATGTTTAGAAAAAAAAAATGAAAAAGAAAAAATGAATAGGCTAATCTGCGGAATCGGTTTTTGTACCTGAGTCGGAGGAATGGTGGTCGGAGGTTGCATGGTCGGAGGAAGACTACAGAGGTTGTGGAGTTCCGTCTGTAGAGTAAGAGGAGATATCAAATCGATCTTTTTTTTTTCTGTTTTTATTTTATGTAGAGGCGACAATGGATTAGGCCATAACGGGAATTCTCGCTTTTTGTCCAATGTTTGTCCCGTGACCTTCAATGTTGGAGACGGGACCGAATCAGTGATCTTTCATGGACTGAGTCCAACATTTTAGAAGCCAAATCAAACATGTCAATTGGATTTTTTTGGACGCAGTCTATCTTTCGACCCGATTAGAAGCCAAATCAAACACACCATTCGTTGATTTGGATGGATTTAAGTTTACTTTAGACTATTCAGATCTATATTTTGAAAACCAAAATCAATCTGGATTCACTTGATTGGATCGGATCGAATTGATCCATCAAAACGAACACCTCTACTGGTTCATCTCCTCTACCGGAGTTCACACGCATGGATAGGGGAGAGATATGGTTCGCCCGAGATGATAACGATGAGAATATTATACCTCTCTTGAAGATGAATATATAAGTTTCGTAGGGATGGAGGAGAGATAAACATATTAAGTTCCCATGGACGAGGTATGGTTCATGTTGATTTGGACCTCTAATCTAATTTGAGAGAGAGAGAGAGAGAGAGAGAGAGAGAGAGAGAGAGAGAGAGAGA